CTTTTACTACTGAATCCTAGCTTATTCCTGCTACTACTATATGTTTGTGTTGCTTCTTTGTGTCAACATGTTTGACTCTGCATGCCTGTTCATTCCTTGCTATTTATATGTTGAGGTGCAGAATCTTGACCCTTTCTTGATTGATTCTGACTCCTTCAATGTCGCGACTGATTACAAAAGGTTTTCTTATGAACCCTAATTGTATTCGTTTGTTTAAATTAATTGATTCCCCTCCATTAATTACTGTGGTGTCTTACCTTGCCGAATCCTTTCCCAAAACTAAGCATGTTTTGTACTTAGACTTGATTATTTACTTCATGCTTTTACTGCCCCCTTATATGGCAATAATCAATCTGTCCCAAACTGATTTCTTTCCTTAATTAAAACCTATTAGTATCCGCTAAGCAGTGATTCCTTAATTAAAGGGAATCACTTGTGTTAGTTGATTCTGATTGTGATTATTTCCATGTTTGTGTTAGGACCTTACTTATTACCTTAATTACTACTCATTTTCAAAACTATAAATACCCTACCCTCTCTTCTTTTAAAGGGACGAACAATTTAAGTTCAGATCACACACTTACACTCAAAAACTCTCTCTTTCTTTACTGTTACTTGTGCTATTGCTTTGTCTAGCCGGCTGAAAGCCAAGGCTAGACTGTGGAATCTTGCTTACTTTTCCTTACCGCACTTTGCTTCTCTACTGGTATGTCCTAGTTAATTTTTTTAAGTCTCAACAACAACATGTTTCTTTAAGTTGCTTCAGTTCCTTATTCTTGTCTACCTCTGCTTATGTTTCTGCAATCAAGTTATGTTTCTGCAGTCAAGTCAAGTCAAGTTATGTTACTAGCATTCTTGGACACGTAAGGGCTGGCCCTTCCACACTGCACTCATTCTATTTGGTTATGTAAACCTAGGTGTGAGCACTGCCCGGGATCCCCTGAGATCCTTAGGGAACTTTGACACACTCAGGTATGAGAAAGGCTTTGAAACATTGGCATTGAAGTGATTAATTATATAACTCAGATAGGAAGTCAAGACCAGGCTTCTTTTGGTTGTAATTTCTAATTTATGCACTTCTTTTGTAATTCAATCATTGGGACCGTAATAATTTGTAAACAATATCGGGGGATTAGTGAAAAGGGTGGGTAGTTGTACACTGTGGGGGGATTGGATAGATAACATGCCTATAGGGTCTATTTGCTTCAAGTATGGTCTGTTAGATAACATGCCTATAGGATTCGTGCTTTGTTTAAAATAAATTCTGTATGCTTCACTTTCACACAACTAGAAATCATGTCTATAGGACATAAGTGACTTTAGTAATAGGTAACATTCCTATAGGGTTAAAAATCAGCTCTACAACTAGATATCATGCCTATAGGATGTAAAGTAATTGAAGCTCAACTTTCGTTACAGCATGTATCCAAACTCGTTTCCTTTAAAAATCACGCCTATAAGTCCCAAGTCAGCTTTCACACACCTAGATACCATGCATATAGGATCTAAATAGCTATTATAGAAATCATGCCTATAGAATTTAAAATAATTTAGTTGGAAAAGCCGTCTAGTTCATGTTATTATTCTGAATTGGATTAATTTAGTAATCTGCCGCTTCTTTAATAAGTTTCTCAAACACTGCCTCGACTTAATACCGTTAGAAAGCATGTCTATAGGATCTCAAGTTGTCTGCTTAAAATCACTGCTCTACTGCATTCCTAATCAACATAGATATCGTGCTCATATGATATTATTATTACGCCTAGGCAACCCTTAAGTAACTACTTGAATAAAACTGGAACTGCCTTCGTTAACTATCACTTGCTACAACCAACAGGCAGGCCTGATTCGGACTTCTTATTTGAGCTATATAATGAATCTGGTTCTGACTCAAATCCCCTGCTTTAGGACTTAAAAAATTCAGACTTTAACTGTGTTTGAGTCGTGCTATTTATATACATTATTTGCGGAGGTTTATATGAGCCTTCTAATTGCTCACAGTGGCGGAGGCAGGATCTCCACGAAGGGGGTTCAAAAAAATTTTTTGTAGCTAGTGGGAATTGAACCCATGAACTTATGTAGATTTTGAACCCCCTTGAGCACTAAACTACACTTTTGGATTGTGTTAAGGGTGTTCAAAACTTAATATATAGAGGTAAAAAACAGATTTTGCCTTATATATACGGTGTAATTTTTCGGCGAAGGGTGTTCGGGTGAACACCCTTGCGCCCCCCTAAATCCGCCCCTATATATATATATAGACACACGAACAAACATAAATATCTTAATCTTAACAAAAATAAATGAGCTCTTAATTACGGATAGGAACCATTAAGGACATTTCCCTAAAGTAAGGGTAGGGTTAAGTGTAACAATAGTCACTTTTAAGCCCGTTATTTAAAATATGTTAATAATTTACAATATATATTTAAAGATTAGTCATTTCATCCAAACTTCAGGACTAAGTATCTTGAAAATTTCAACTTTAAGGTTTAAACTCTAAGACATTATGTCTTGAAGTTTAAACGAAATTGATTAATCTCTTAATACATTATATATTATGAATATATTTTAAATATCGTGCTTAAAAGTGGCTAGCCGGTGAGGTACCAAAGTGAACAAATCCATTCTATATGTTCTTCCTTGAACGTCAAATTCAACCATTGAGACGTGTCATGCAAAGAGCTTCCAAAAGCACCACGTACGTAACTCTACTACTCTCTCTTTCCCTATATATCCCGCCACGTTCATATCCCTCTTCTCTAACTTTCTTCTTTATTCTACTGCCCATTATCTTGCTCATTTTTGCTCTCTGACTATGGCTAACTCATCTTCAATATCCATCTCAAATATTCAACTCCAGCACATAACTCACATCTCAGACTACTTTTTTTCTCAAGGCCAAGAAAATACTCTCCAAAAATACACTAACCCCCTTGACAAAAACCCATTTTACCGTACAGTCCCTGGGTTTTACCTAACCCCAGCTGATATCGTCCTCCGCAACAACATCATCGATCTTTCTGGAACTTTCCAATCTCCTACACCGTCTTTAGCTTACCACAGAGCTGGGCCCCGCAAGCAAATCTTGTTCAACCCTAGCACTGTAAAAGCTGCTATTGTAACTTGTGGCGGTCTGTGTCCTGGTTTGAATACTGTTATTAGGGAATTAGTTGTTGGGTTGTGGGAAATGTATGGAGTTAGAGAGATTTTTGGTATCAAAGCGGGTTATCGCGGATTTTATAGTTATGATCCTGTTTTACTGAATCGTAAAATGGTTGATGATTGGCATAAGAGAGGTGGTACTGTGCTTGAGACATCTAGGGGTGGTTTTGATTTGAATAAGATTGTCAATGCTATTCAAGATCATGGCTTTAATCAGGTTTAATTTTTATTCCTGCTATAATGTGCTTAGTATTTTTTTTATCAGTGGCGGAGCCAAGAATTTTGACCAGGGGTTTCAAAGAAATCGAAAAATGCAATACTTGGTACTTGAATCTATATTTTGCATTTGTTAAGAGGATTCAAATTTTTTGATATACATAAAATATTGTTTTTATCCTAATTAAGCAGCATTAATTTTCGTCGAATTGATTTATGGCTTCGTTAGTATTTGGTGTCGTTTGTTTTAACATCAATAGTAAAATGTATATCATGGAGAAAAAGATGGTGTCACTGGCAATATATAATTTAATAGGAGTAGTATTTACATAATTTTTTAAAGTTGTGTGAATATGTGATACATGCGCTATTAACTTGTTATTTCTAATACTATTTTACTTATTGACGCAGTACACACGTGCACGTAACATTAAAACTAGTTGAGAAAAAGATGGTGTCATCGGTATTGTTAGAAATTATTAGTACATAATATTAAGATGACTTAAATCTGTAAAATATTAAGACGCTTAAATTTGTGAGCATATCAGAGCTTAATTTTATTTTCTGAGAAAAAAAAATGGTGTGTGAATGAATGGAAATGGTTCATGAACTTTGTAAACGTACATTTCAAAAGAATCTAGACAAGATCCCAACGAATTTGGATAAAAATAAGTTGCACCAGCCGGGAATCGAACCCGGGTCTGTACCGTGGCAGGGTACTATTCTACCACTAGACCACTGGTGCTGTTATCATTATGCTGCTCAAAAGTTTTAGAAAACTATTTGCAGTTGGGTACCTCTGTTCTAAAGTAATATCAACCGATAATTTACCAAACAAAGTGATATATATGAGCTTCTCATAAAGTAATCCTGGTGAATATGATATCTTATCTTGATTTAGATGGCTAAAACAAGGAAATATGTAAATAAGTTGGTGTATGTGGTACAAGTTGGTTATTCTTCAGGTTTTTTTGTGTGGTAGAGTTATATATTTGAGCTACCTCTCCTTCTAGTATGATGTATATACATGTGAAGTTTATTGGGACGTTTATTCTCTATTTATTGCTAGATTCTTAAGAAATTAGCTAACTGCTAGTGATCAGGCGCGGACGTGTTTTTCACTTTCAGATTATGCTGTTAAAATGTGGACGGGTGTGTGTCGGATCCTCCAAAATTAGTGCATTTTTGGAGGATTGGACATGGGTGCGAAAGCATTTTGGAGAGTCTGCGCCATAGCTTTCAGATTAATGTTGCAGCTCTTAATTAAGATAACAACTGCATATGCTGCTCATTGATCAATTATTTGTCTTTGTGAATATATGATTGAGCAGGTTTACATCATAGGAGGAGACGGTACAATGCGTGGAGCAGTGAAGATATTCGAGGAAGTAAAACAACGAAAATTATATATCTCAGTGGTCGGTATCCCAAAGACAGTGGACAATGATGTTGGCATTATAGACAGATCGTTCGGGTTTCAAACCGCAGTAGAGATGGCACAACAAGCGATTAATGCAGCTCATGTAGAAGCTGAGAGTGCAGTAAATGGTATAGGGCTGGTGAAACTTATGGGTCGCAGTACTGGTCATATTGCATTACATGCAACGTTAAGTAACCGTGATGTAGATTGTTGTTTGATTCCCGAGATCGACTTCTACTTGGAAGGTAATGTTGAATTGTGTGATCATACTTCTTCGGTGAGATTTTTTACCTAGAATCTCTTGCACGCTCTGATACCAATTGTCTGACCAATCTCAGCACACTTTAAATTAGTTAATTTTATCGTGTCTCATAGGTAAGGGAGGGTTGCTGGAATTTCTTGAGTCTCGACTAAAGGAGACTGGGCACGCGGTATTGGTGGTTGCGGAGGGTGCAGGACAAGATATGATTCCGAGGACTGAATCCCAGAAAACAGAGAAGGACGAGTCGGGCAACCCCGTTTTCTTGGATGTTGGAGGGTGGTTAAAGTCAGAACTCAAGAATTGGTGGAATAGGGATCATCCGAACGAGTTGTTCACGATAAAGCACATAGATCCTACGTATATGATACGAGCAGTTCCTGCAAATGCAACGGACAATTCGTACTGCACTCTGCTGGCGCATTCGGCAATTCATGGAGTTATGGCAGGGTATACTGGATTTGTTTGTGGCCCTATAAATGGAAATTATGCATACATTCCAGTAGATGAGATTGCTAAGGCAAAGAACAAAGTTGATACCAAAGATCATAAATGGTCATGGGTAAGATCTGTTAGCAATCAGCCAGATTTTATCAGAAGTTAAAAAGCTTTTGGAAGGCTTCTACTGTAGCATTTAATACTTGGGACAATTTTTGTACTTCAATGATCAATTTGGACACACTCTTTGTCCGCTGCTTTTTCTTTTTCTTCTTCTTTGCACGTTACTTAAATGGGCGTTATTATTTTAATGATTTTTTGAATCAAAAGACATGTTGCAAAGCAGTAGAAAGAATAGTTAGATAGTAACCTAAAGTAAATTTGCATATTAACCAACCACTAAATTATAAAATGTTTTTGTTCTTAAAATCGTTGCAAAATTCCAAATTTTTAGATACTTCTCCATAATTTTAAAACAAAAACACAAACAAAAAATATTATTAGAAGAATTATCATATAAAAAATTACAAACATATTTCGAGCAGTGCGGGATTCACCAATAATTATCTTCTATGAGACACTCTTTAGTAGGCCCTAGGCTCTTAGTAATTAAATAAAAAAGGATTCTTCCTTCCTAATACTTTAAAAAGGATTCCATCAATAATCCACATACCAAAGGAACACGTATGCGTTTGTTTCATCTATGTATATACGTATACGCTACTTTTATTCAAATTGAAACATATTAGTAAAGAGTTTTCTTTGGAAACACAAAACATATGTAAAATGTGAAAGAGTCGTTCAACATTTCATATTGGTTTTTTATTTTATTTTATAGTTCTATAGTTTAATATATAAATTATGTATAAGCACCAAAATGCAGAATTTTTAACTTTTAATTTGCATAATCAATTCACGATAGCTCAGAAACTCTTAGATGGATCCATTGATTCTTGGCTTACTTCCCTTTACATGAAAATTATCAAAAGGAAACGTGCTTATATTGAGGAGAAGTCCTAGAGTACTCACTTGGGAAACTATTCTTCCAAAGTATGAGAATTATAATTAGAATTAACTAACCTGATGATTAATTTTAGTTAATCTTAAAGTCCTAAAATGTTAGGTAAAAATAAGATTCATAATGCTACGATTTTATCTATTATGGGTTTAGCTATAAGAAACTACCAACTTTTTTAATTGAATGCATGCATAATTCTATAAAAATGTTATACCAGTATCTTTAAGTTCTTTTTTTTTTTTGGGTCCTAAACTTTGTGGGTGAACATTTATTCAATAACTATAATTTTTAACCAACTTGTCTATGATCAAAATCACATAGAGTTCCTAATGAGTAATATTAATCAACTATGGCGTAAAGAAGTAGGAGCTCAAGTAAGAGGAACAAATGAATTGCACTCATATTCTTTTGTTATCCTAAACATGTTGTTGCATATTAATGTCGGTGATTTAATTGATCCAACAAGAAACTAAATTTATATTTCAAAACATATTTTTGTCCAATTCTAATTAAAAAAAACATGAACTAACTAATGTACGCAATCTCAAAAAGTGCCATCGAATGGTTGGCAATTAAGAAATCTGCCGGTTTATTACAACCACATATCCTCAAATAAAAGCAACACATGAATATAAAGTTATTACCTATATTCCATATAATTAGTGGTAACGATTTTTAAAGTATGTAATCTAGTTTTAGTAACAATAGGTCTTCCAGATAGTCGATCCCTATCAATTAGTAATTTAGTACCATTGTGGGATATTAGAAAAGAGGTTCGAGGAAGGATGATTTATGGGAACAGTTTCAGCCACAAGTATTTCATCATTTTAAATTAGCGTGAAAATCAAATTGAACATCAACTCTCTTCCTCTCTGCTATTTATTTTTAATTCACCAAACATCTATTGTTTACTCAATATGACGGTAAATTCTAAGAAACTTTCACTACGATAGAATGGAAAAGAAACATCAAAAATTTGACATGCACCTTTCACCAAACCTTGAATATTTTATTCGATTTTTTTTCAGTATTTAATTTATTGTTGGAAAATATTAACTTCCCTAAAGATTACTCAACTTTTAAAAAAACAAGAATATTGTACAAATATATTGACGTATTTTCTATTTGTCGATTGAGAATTGAGATGCACACATGATTAAACAAATAAATTACCTCGAACAGAACTGATATTTCATATGTGCTGCAATATTCGTTGGTACAAAACATATAATTAAACAATGCAATAACAGAATTAGCCTAAAGATATTACAGTTGAATCAACTATGCAACACGAAGACCAAAATCTCAACAAATAAGTCTCATTACCTTTAACAAAGAGAAGACTCTATCCAGAACCGCAGCAAGACCCTAGTCACCTGAAAGCACAGTCATCATTGACAATTTTGCGAATAAGGAAATAAAAATATCAAGAAGGAAATGCATACTTTATTACATAAATTACCTGTAGAAGAATGATATTTCATATATATGTGCGAGGCAACATAATCCTATATATATAATGTGTAGTATTATGTCCTAAAACTAATAGGATTACAAGGCTAATGGCTAAAGTTCCGATTATATCCTTTTATTGTGAGTTATTATGATTAATATTAAAAAGGTTATTTTTGTAAACCAACATTTTATTCATGCTTTTATAATAATATAGATAAGTATCGGATAATTTTATTTTGCAATATGAATAATGTACTTAGGAGTTGTTTGGTACATGGGATAAGAATAATAATTTCGGGATATAGTTTGGGATTAAGTTTTTTTTAGCTATTCTCGGGATAATTTTTATATTAAAATGTTAGGACTAGTTATCCTATATAGAAGGTGGGATACTAATTTTATGGGATGTGGGATATTCTGGGATAAGAAATAATTAATTTTCGGGACTAAATTTGAGATAAGTTCATCTTATGTTTGGTTAGAAAAAAATTGTGGAATAATTAATCCTAAAATTAGTTATTTCGGAATTGTAGTATTTTTTAATCTTTATAGGGGAGTGGAATAATTAATCCCAAAATAATTAATTTTAGAATAATTAATTATGGGATAACTTGTTTCCAAGTAAATGACCCATTAATGTTGTTTGTGTCTCTTTATTTTTGTTTTTGGGCTGGGTTCCTTTGTCTATCTAATTTAAAAGTAACAAGGTGCATTAGTGTAAAATATAAGAATAATAATCTCTTGATGGGTAATCAAGCAAGTGAGCTACTAATCATCCCACAAGTCCTCTCCTCTACCTTTTTTGTGAGTTTTTTTATTTGCTAAGTTTTGGAAATTTAATTGCGGTTGGTGGAATGTGGGACGCATTGATATGCAGTGGCGGAGCCACCTTATACGAACGGGTAGCAAATGATATCCCTTCGCGAGAAAAATACACTGTGTAGGTAAGTAAAAAAATAAATTATATGTATGTATTGACTCCTCTTAATTTCCTGGTATGTTTACTTTTTTATATTTTGATACCCCTTAACGAAAATTCTGGCTCCGCCACTATTGATATAATGATATCAAATGAAGCTTGTAATAGGTGCAATTTCTGATTTGATTGAAGGATAGATTTTGACAAAAATGGAAATTATTATGTTAGTAAAGTAGGAGCTAAGTAAATGATAAGTGACGAAAACCTCCCTTGATAAAAAAAGTTAGTCAATTTTTTTCTTAACTAAGTAACCCGCAATTGTTACCCTTTGGATGCGCTCTGGGTAAATTCCGTTCTAATGTAATAGTTTGTAAGTCGCACTAGGCAAGCCACTAGTCGCACGAGAAAGTATATAGGGGTTTCGAACTTGCGACCTTCTATACAATTTGGCCAGTCTTGCGGGTAAGTTAGTCGATTTTATCTATTCCTAAATATGAAATAAATAGTCGTTAGGGAGAAACAAAAGATGATTAATTATCCCGTCAAATTTTCATGATTTTACAGTGGTGAAGATCAGGTCTAGCATAGCCAACTCAACTCAACCTATGTTCGAGGAAAAAACCAAATAATTCCACTTTTGTTTCCTTAGTGCTCCCCTTTCATAAAATGCAAACTTTTTTTGCTTTAGCAATTCTTAGTACAATTATTCTCGACTCATTTTACGTTTCAAAAAGTTCAAAAGTTCATCGCTTCTCTATTTTTTACGTTATCTTCACACTGTATAAGCAATATTTTACGTTAGCTTGAATATATGAGAAATATTTGCCCAAGTCCTAGTGGGAAAATTTGAGATTAGTAGCAAATTAGTGGTTGGGAATCGTATAATCTAATAAGAAAATAAACCAAACATCCTTTTATTAAAATTAAATTAATGGAAACACGCCCCGAGGCTTATTTCAATGGGCACCATGTGAGAGTCGGTAAATGCGTTTCCGTACACCGTATGCAGAAATATTTCAAATTAATTATAGTTTCGAGAATAAAAGAATTCACGATAAACGGTGCTTCCTAATTTAATAATTCTATACGATATAACTTTAAATTAGTTGAATTAGAAAATTTAGTCTATCAAATACCAAATACTGTAATTAAATGTATAAATGATGCTCAGTATGTGCTGAAAGCTTTTTCTAAATATATGTAACGTAATAAATAGCAAAAAGAAAGCCCAACTGTCAACCCTTACCTTAGACTAGTACCAGAGCCGGACCTGCCCTTTGAGTAGGGGGTCACCGGCTGTGCATATGTGTATGTATATTAAACAACAGATATATATTCTAAATTTTAGGAGTAATTTTATTGACGGTCATCTAACTTTGTATTCATTACACAAAAGTCAGTAGTATTCTTTCTTTCGTCACACAATAATCATTTTACGTTGCTTCAGTTATCACAAAAATCATTCTGGCTTGAATTTTATAAAACTTTCGCCTGAAAAGTGACATGGCAGCCTTAATTAGTGTTTTGTATTGATTAAGCAAGCTAAATATATTAACTCATGTCTTAGACCCATAAATACCTGACCCAGTTGCCCGAATGGAGCTCCTTTTTCTCCATGCTCTGTGCCTGTTGTATGCCTTGACCCAGTTAAACTGCAACTTAAGCATTCCAGTTCATTTAATGAAATTAATTAAAATGCAAAATACAAAAGGGACCAAATAAAGTGATACAATTTCATAACATCGCATTCTAAATTTCTAATATATGTAACGAAGAGAGAGAATTGGGAGAATCAAATTTTAAGGGGAATATAATGGGTGGGTCAAATTTTGTTTTATAGTCAATACTGGGTCAGGTATAAATTATGTAGGTATAATGGGTTTAGTACATTAATCATATTTAATTAAGCAAATACACTAATTAAGACTGTCACGTCACTTTTAAGTGGGAGTTTTTAGAATCCGGTCAAAATGATTTTTGTGTGACAAAACAAAGAATAATGACTTTTGTGTAATGAATTCAAAAGTTAGATGACCATTGATGATAGGCTATAATTGCATATTTTAGTCGCTTATTACACTCGAATTTACTGCACTTTAATTGAGTTTGCGCTTTAATCGCTAGTGTTTTGCACTAATTGTGTGTTTTATGCCTTGTAGGTGTGATTCCGAGCTATATAGATGTTATGGAATGAATTTAAGTGATTTGAAGCTTTGAAGTCTGAGTAAAAGCTCAAGGAATTAAGCCGGGATCGTGTTCGGAGGTCAAATTTGATAATTAAGTACGAACGAAGACTTGAGGAGGCATATTGCGTACTGTCTAGTAAAATAGACATAACTTCTTGCTCAGAACTCCATTTGGCTCCACAATATACGGTTGAAAAGCTAACTCAAAGGACTACAACTTTCATGTTTTACGTTTTTCCAAATTCCAAACGGAATAGGGTGAAAAACTGCGATTTTGCCGCGACCGCGGTAGAAGATGGTCGCGGACAACTGAAGAATCAGAGGGCATGTTTGGCCGCGGTTCCACCGCGACCGCGGCAAAACCGCGGCAGGAAGCGAAAATTTCAGGGACTAAAGTACAAAACATGGAATTTTAAGTCCTAAACCCTACATTAAACAAAGGAGGCCGGCCAAGAACAAGAGGAGGACATATTTTGGACACAAATTAGACCTAAGGAGGCGGAGAGACACTACTTTAGGGTTAGACAACACCCTTGGAGGCAAGAACACATTGGGAGCAAGGCAGAGAATTCTTCTACGAGTTTTTTTCCTTCCTCTTCCTATTTTTCATTGTTGGTTATGACTTTTAGTATTGTAGTTTTACATACTATTATGAATAGCTAATTTGTTATCTAGAGTTTGATAGAACCTTTTGTAGGATAAATTCTTGTTATGTTTTTATATAATTGAGCCATAGCTTTTCTCTATTTGTTCAACTACGTTTATATTGTGGTTGGTTGAAGAGCTCTCAATTAGCTGTGCCTATTTAGTATGCATAACTCGGGAGAGAGTGCATATTTAGGTAATTGTTGAACAACACCACTCCCAGAGTATATGAGGGATCAATAACCGAGGGTTTAAAGGCGGGATTAGGGATAACGAAGCCTTGGGTGCGATCTGAAGTGAGCTGTATTAAAAGCCAGCTAGCGTAGCTCGGGAGAGTGCGTCTAGTAAATTGTCGTAATTACTCGGGAGAGATTTACGGTAATAAGAGCGCTCATGATCGGTAGAGAATACTTAGGCGAAATTATAGAAGACATAGCGGGAAGGATTCCGACAATTGGGGAAATCATAACTCTAGACCTCCTTAATCTTTTCTCTAACCCTCAGTATCGTTAGTTGTTAATTTATTATTTTAATTTGTTAGTTAATTAGTTAAACACAAGAATCTTAATATTTATAAGTTAGGAATTGTTCAAGCTTGTCTTCTTGGTGATAATGAACAGCTGTAGCTAAACCTTAGTTCTCTGTGGGATTCGACTCCGGACTTGTAAACCGGATTATATTTGCAACGACCGCATTGTCCTTTTTATAAGGCATAGTTGAGCGTGATCAACCATCCATAAAATTTACTCAAATTTTAGGCTGTAGTATTGGTCGATTTGGGAGTATCACTCGACTTTAGTGTATTGTCTGAGCTCGACTCTGCCTCTAGCATTTGGTTAAATTTTTATTTGATAGCGATCCACTTTCATATTCTAGATTCGCCTCACCGCTGCTAATATCACAGCTACCTACTAGCAACTCTTAGCTTTATTATTAAAAACTTGCTAACGGGAACAAAAAGGGTATTACTGCAACTAATAGCGGTTGATAATTTCACCTGTCGTACTAAATAGCTAAATAAAAAAGATGAACGAAAATGAAGTTCCACAATATATACTAGGATTAATTGACCAATGCTTAGAATTATTCAGCTCCAATTTATATACTTTCACCATTTCAATTAATGCCTTTTTGTTTAGTTGGTTTCAAAATAACATTAGTTGATATATTTAATAGATTATTAATTTTAGTATTTACATTTTATTACTAATTGTATTTTCTTTATACGAACAATATTGTATGTTCAAAATTATAAGATTTAAAAGATATTGTAATATGTTCTTTATATTTTTATATTATGACCATTCAATTTAATTTTTTATATTTTAAAATTTATATCAAATCAAATTAAGACACATAAAAGAAAATAAAGTATAATATAACTATACCGACTTAAACGTAGAGATGGAGGTTATGACAAGGGTGCATTGACGTTGTGTATTTTGGACGGTTTTCTTTTTTTTTTTTTTGGTATTTCTTCTATGAATACTACTACTACTATTTAGTACTCCCTCCGCTTCTATTTATTATTTATGTCAACCTGTTGGACTGGACATAGAGTTTAAGGAAAAATAAAGACTTTTGGATTTGTGATCCTAATCAAATTAAAAAGGGCCTAGAGTATTTGTATGGTTATAAAAGCTTCTCATTAAGGGTATATTATAAGTTTAAGCTAAATTACTTTCAAATTTAGAAAAGGATCATTCTTTTTTGAATGGACCAAAAGTATATAGGTTCACGTAAGAATAGTATTTACTGACATTTGTCTTTTAGGGCAATTTCATTTCCTCAATTACGGAAGCAAAAATGAACTTCAATCAAAAAAATATCTGGCCCCTATAATGCCTCCACTACACTTCGCCACTGCCGAAATAAACCGATATTACGGTGTTAACAATAATAATAGTAATTAGATTCACCTCGTATGAGGTTTTTTAAAGAGAATATATACCCTAGCAGAATAACTAAAATTCTAATTAAGAATAAAAAGATGTTATTTATTTTATCATAATTTTTAGTACTACAACAACTATATAAAATCCCGTGGAATTCCACAAGTGAAGTATAGGGATAATATGTATCAGTCTTGCCCCAATCTTGTGTAGGCAAAGAGACTGTTAGGTAGACACTCTGGTCAGGCCACCATGATCGCAACATTAAAGCAACAGAGATATAGTAATAAAAGAGTCATGAAAAATCAGTAAGAACATCAAAATAGTAACAAAACCGAAGCAACAGTAACATCCAATAGTGATAAACATCCAAGAATATGACAAAATATGAGTAATACTGAAACTACGGGAAAGTATAGGAAGAAAGCTCTACTAACATTTTACCCTAATTTTCTGACTTTTACAACTTTATATCATGTCCTTAGTGATAAAAATTAAATTATAAAAGGATGACATTGTGCTTTATTAGGAATTACTAATAAAGAAATAGTATGGACAAATTCAAAAGGAGGGAAGTATTACTTATATTTGTCTTGTAGGGCATTTTCTCTGCTGAATTACAGTATCAACTACTTCTAATCAGTCAAAAAGATATCTGGCCCCTACACTACACTTTGCCATTGCCCAGATAAACCGACATAACATCTATAATCAATAACTAATACACCCACAAATTAACTGACAAGTATACAAGTAAGCATCCATCAAAAATAAAAGCATCTCCCCTTTCAAATAATTCTTCTTGAGTATTTCACATTAGATCCCACTTCCCTAACACAACAACAAAAACAGGTTTCAGTACAAGTTATTTGCTGAGCGGCTCAATAAAATTTGTAGCCTAAATCGAAGTTGGTAATGAGTCACAAAAAAATGACTGAAAAACAGACTACCCTTGTCTGTTTGGTAGCTGTGACAGTGTTGTTATTAATTCAAGTAGTGGAATCTGATATTGGAGTTAATTGGGGAACAATATCTTTGCACAAGATGTCACCTTCCACTGTAGTGGATCTTCTCAAAGACAATAAAATACAGAAAGTGAAATTATTTGATGCAGACCCAGATGTAATGAAAGGTCTAATGGGAAGTGGGCTTGAAGTTATGGTTGGAATACCAAATGACATGTTAGCCCTTATTAGCTCTTCTATTGCTGCTTCCGATTTGTGGGTCTCTCAAAATGTCTCCAGATATATGGTTAAAGGCGGTGTTAATATCAAGTAAGTTCTAAGTTGTCTTCCTTTTGTACTTTTGCTCTTTCCTTTGCCTTTGCCTTTTCCTTTTCCCTTGCTTGCTTCAGATTTTTCAGCTGTTATATGATTTGGCCAATCTTAGCATCATTAATTGAGCTTATGTTTTTTTTTTAATGACTATGGTATCCGGTCCAGCTTGCGCACACATTAATTATTTCACAGGCTACTTGCTAACTCCTACCAACACAGTTACCTGGTAACTCTATCGAAGCTTAGGCAAATGAGAAGAAGTATTTTTTATCTTCCTTGGATTATGTTTTAGTTATGTTACTATGCTTTCTTAGGGGTCGTTTGGTATGATGGACAAGCAAAAATAATCTTGGGATAAAAATTTAGTATCGCCTTATCGCTTATTTGGCTACTAATCTTGGGATAAGTTATACCATGATTAAAATTAGCACCGGGATAACTTATACATGTTAGAGAGTGAAATAGTAATCCAGAATAAAGCAGTAAAATTTGACTAATACAACGTAGCAAACGGTCAATAAAAAATAATATCAGATAACTAATCCCACTATAACTTGTCTTCAAAGTTCAAACCAAACAACACCTAAAAATTTTTAGCCCTAGTGTAGATCTTTTATGCTAGTTAAAAATATGGAGAACTTCTTGTACTTTTTATTTCTATTTCTATACATAGTGTTGGCCTGATGAATTTAATTGGATAAACATGATCAATGAGGATTCATATAGCCGACCACCTTATTTGGAGTGAGGTGGTGTAGTTGTCCTTGTTGTTGTTGTTGTTGTTGCAGTAGTAGTTTGCAAATCTTTTCTGTGTATTGTCTATGCATTCTTGTCTTTACCTCTGTTTGTTAGCTGATAGAGAAAATGAAGGGTGTCGATTTCTTCAAACATTTGAACCATTACTGTTCACTACACTTTGGTTATCTTGGATATGTCTTGAAGTTCTTACGGTGAGCTACATAAGATGTTTGTTATGTGTTACTTCTTGCAAATATTATGTTAAAGATCCAGGTAGATGTTTATGGAGTATGTGTTATTTCTTATATTGTTGTGTTAAAGTCAACAACTCGGTTTCCCTCAACACAATATCTGTTATATTAAGTAACCAGAATTTTAGCCCTTCGCAATGTAGTTTCTTATGCTAACAGACATAACCTTGCTCACATACTATGATCTAAACTAACAATTTGGAGGGGTGGAGAGAAAGAAATACTTCTTTACCTAATAAAGAACACGGCATGTTTGGCGCTGCTGGTATTTCATTTGCCTTTAGCTTTAAACAATACAAAAGATAGCTAGTTAGCTTGTATTGATCTTTTGCGGAATCACTGACACCCTTTGCTTTCTAGCGCCAATAGAATGCTCCATGGAGCTCCTTCTTGACTACATGTATTGTTAACTTTTTATCCCGTAAGTAACGCCTCCTCGCAACTGGGATGGTTGAGAAATCAAATTTTCAGTTACTAATTTTCTTTTTTCTCCAAAAAAAGAAAGAAAATTTCTAGAATCAACAAGGTACCTCCTATTTAGATTGTTTAACTATGTATCTGTTGAGTTACAGTTGTATAGTCTGAACCTCTGGTCGCTTGGTCCTTCTGGTTGCAGTTCAGCATTAATTGATCCACTAGGTTTATGGCAAGTAGTAGAACTTACACCCGAAATCAGACTAGATACCAATTAATAGTAGCAGTTCTTCTCAAATAAAGTAAATAGGAGGATTCGATATCCTTCATTAATTTAGCTTCTCATGTTGCTGCAAATTTTAGAAAAGTTTGGATATAAATATAAATAGGTTCAGATGAATCCAGATGTGACTTGAGATTTACTCAAATGACAACTTGGAATCTTTTCGGTTTCCCTATTGATAATCTTTAGTCATTTTCAGTACTGTATCGATTCGGAGCATCTCAAGATAACTTAAGATTCTGGTGTGCTCTATTTCTTTTTTGGTTTTACATGTTATGTTTTTCTTTCACTCTTTCTTTCAACTCCCCCGTTTTAACTTCATTTTTCATTTCTTGTGGTTAGTTATATGTTCCTTTACCTGTACTTGGTATATGCTAGCATGAGTGCGTACCATGTTCTTGAAATAATGTAAAAGTTTGCTGGAAACTGGATTCTGGCTCTACTTCCCAGTAAAGTGCATTTAGAGGTTCTAAACGCTGCTCCTCCATTTGGCTCATACTTTTGGTACAAATTTCCTTCAACAATAGTCGACCCTATAAAGTTGTCTCTATATGACCTATAGGTCATGGGTTCAAGCCGCGGAATCAGCCACTGATGCTTCCATCAGGCTAGGCTGCCTATATTACACCTCTTGGGGTGCGGCCCTTCCCCGGCCCCTGCGTGAACGCGAGATGCTTTGTGTACCGGGCTGCCCCTTTAGTAGTCGACCCTATGTTAAGTTGTGTATCGCCAATGCAGCGAAGGACACTTGAGCACTGCAGCATTCTTGTTAGACAAGTTCAAAGCTATAATAGTACTGCATCATTTTTGGTGATTTCAGCATATATCATGTCATTCTCTTTTTTCTTCTCATTTTCTTTCTCTCTTTGGCTAATGACAGCTATACATCAACACAGGTATGTTGCAGTTGGTAATGAGCCTTTTCTTACAAGTTATTCTGGTCAATATCAATCATACGTCGTCCCTGCTATGACGAATTTGCAACAGTCTTTGGCCAAAGCAAATCTTGCTAGGAATGTAAAGCTGGTAGTACCATGCAATGCCGATGCGTACGAGTCTTCCCTTCCTTCACAAGGAACCTTCCGACCCGAATTGACCCAAATCATTACCCAGCTTGTCTCATTTCTGAACTCTTACGGTTCACCATTTGTGGTAAATATTTATCCATTCCTCAGCCTATATGGAAACTCAGACTTCCCTCAAGATTATGCTTTTTTTGAAGGGACAACACATGCTGTGACCGACGGGCCTAATGTCTACTCTAACGCGTTTGATGGAAATTTGGACACGTTAATAGCAGCCCTCGCGAAAATCGGATACGGTCAAATGCCTATAGTTATAGGAGAGGTAGGTTGGCCTACGGATGGCGCCATCGGTGCTAATCTTACAGCTGCAAGGGTCTTCAACCAAGGCCTTGTGAAACATGTTCTTAGCAACAAAGGAACTCCTCTTAGGCCAGGGGTTCCCCCTATGGACGTTTATCTTTTCAGTCTTTTCGATGAAGGTGCAAAAAGTGTTCTTCCGGGTAACTTTGAGAGACACTGGGGCATTTTCTCTTTCGATGGCCAGTCGAAATATCCATTGAACCTCGGAAATGGTGCATTGAAGAACGCAAAGGATGTTCAGTATCTGCCGTATAGGTGGTGTGTTGCAAACCCTTACAAAAATCTTGCTGAAGCGGCCAACCACTTCAAAATTGCTTGTAGTTATGCAGATTGCACGACGCTTAATTATGGAGGATCATGTTATGGAATTGGAGCAAAGGGTAATATGTCATATGCATTCAACAGTTACTATCAACTGCAAAAGCAGAATCCGCGGAGCTGTGATTTTGATGGGCTCGGGATGGTTACTTTCTTGAATCCTTCGATTGGCGAGTGCAGATTTCTTGTTGGTGTTAGTGATCATACTAATTCCTCAGGTTTTAGGTTGCAGAACTATTGGATCTCAGTGTTGTTGATTATTCTTTGGGATGCTTGGTTATTCTTGATGTGATTGGAGGTTTGGCTTTTTGGTTTGGGGAGGGGGGGGGGGGGGGTTAAGGTCTGCGTACACACTACCCTCCCCAGATTTCACTTGTGATATTATACTGTGGTGTTGTTGTTGTGGGGTGGGGGGTGGGGGGGGGGGTGGGGGTTGAGAGTTCCATCTTTTGAAACTAATAGCTAGCTGCTATTAAAACATGAAATTATACTTCATAGGATAGGTTCTATAGTGGTATTAAAAGTTATTTCAGAAGAAAAAGTAGCTTGAGTATTCTGTGTACAATTTATGTATCCATCTTGATGATTTATACTCAGATATAGACATTATATAACTTATATTTAGAAAAACTTAGCCATTCATATGAAATTTTGTCCCATTGGTGTTAGATATTTGTTTCCTTTGAAATCTACAAACTACTTATCCAGAGCAATTGTCCAGCAATCATGGCATACTTGGAAAAGCATTTACCTCTGTGCAAACTTTTATTTTGATCGAATTTTTTATTTTATATATTTTATTTTACTTTTAAAAAAAAATACATATTAGTTAAAGGTGTGTATGTAACACCCTAGCAAATTCCACGTTCATAAATTACGTTAGTGACATTGCCTTAAAATCTTACTGGCATGTTTTTCTGTCGTACGAGCCTAGGCCTAAAGTGGAGATCTCACTAGTGATCGGAAGAGATGTTGCTAGTTTTAAATCTTAATGGCGCATTTTTAAACCGTACATGCCTAAATTATATAATATTACCACTAGGTTTGGTAGTCGATATATGGCAGAAATAAATGACATAAAGACGATTGCAAATGTAGGTACACCACCATTTCCATCGTAAGGGTGTACTGTGGAGCGGGCCCAGCTCGGGACCGCACCGGGACCGCGAGCCCACGTGCCTAACAGGCCGGTCCAAACGGTCTGGTCCCAAACGGTCCCAAAAGCCCACTGTGGGCCGGTCCTCTATGCTGAGACCACGAGCACGGGACCGTTTAGCCCGGGACCGGCTGGCGGGCCTGGGCCGGTTCAAACGGGCCTAATGGGCCCATCGGCTATTTTTCAAAAAAAAAAAAATTAAAAAAAAAGGCCAACGTTAGAAGTTTAAAAACTAGCCGTTGGCTTGCCAATTTAGCCGTTTGGCTTTTTAAAAAATAGTCATTTGGCACCCAAACTTTGTTTTAACCCCAAACTTTTTATAATTACACTTTTTCCCTCTCAACTATATGTACCCCCTCATTCTTTCATTTTTACTCACAAAATCATCAATCTCTCTCAATCTCTCTCTAATTTTCTTCTATAATTGCTTACTTTATTATTGCAATTTGTGAAAAATTGTGAAGTTGGTGAATTGAAGTATTCAAGTCTTCAAGTCTTCAACGATATACAATTTTCAAGAAGTTGTTCGTCAATTCGGTAAACTCGTTCCAACTTTTAAGTTTTAATATTATAGTTTTGTTTGTTTTAGTTTGTATAATTGTAATTAATATGGCATTTTCTTTGAAAAAATGTTTGGTGGTAAGGGAAAATCTAAAATTGGTGAATCTAGTCACCAAGCTACTACCCCTCCCCCGGCTCCCCGACCCAGACCTGTTACCCGTCCTCCTCTACCTATTATTCTTGATAGTGATAACCTTTGTTTTCAATTTAGCGATAGTCAATTTTGCCATGATGTTGCACCAGGTCAACAATTAAATGATGAATATATGAATGCTCTTTATCCTAATGAAACTATTGAGGAAAATGATGATTTAGCTGAAACGCAATCGGATTTAGATGATAAACCTACTAGTCCTGTTGTTAACCCAACTGATAATAATCCAAATGATGCCCCGCCTGACCCTCCTGTAGTAACCCCTACTTTTAATAGACAACGTTCTAAACACCCCGAAATATCTCTTGTTTGGCACTTTTTTACTCAACTAAGAGAACAAAATAAGGCTAAGTATAAAACTTGTGGGTCTTTGATGGCTCATAAATATGCTGGAGACCGTAGCGGTACGGGTAGTTTGACTAGACACATAAAGACACACCCTAGAGATAAAGCTAGATATCTTCAAATGAAAGCGCAGCTAGAGGGGAGAAGTGTAGGTACTGAGGTTAACCCTAGTACCGCGTCAAATCTAGTTCAACCGGGAATTAACACTGTTACCGGTGGCATTTTATATTACGATCCAAATAAAGATCATGAAGAATTAGCAAAAATGGTTACTGTGATGTGCTTACCCTACAGTTTTCCTTCTAACCCTCACTTTGTGCATTATATTAGAAAAGTTTTTAATCCTACTTATAAAGGATGGCCTCGCGCAACCGTAAAGAGCGATATTTATAAATATAAACATGAATATGAACAATATTTGCGGTATTTATTTACTCATATAGATTGTCGCATTGCTATTACCACTGATATTGATAGAAGTGGTAATGACTGTGATTATCTTACTGTAACCACTCATTGGATTGATGAGGAATGGAAAATGCAAAAATACATTTTTGCTTATAGAATAATTAATTCACGTCACACAGGTAAGTTTATTGCTAACACAGTTGCAGATATTTGTAGATAGTTTTGCATTAGAGATAAAATAATATCAATTTCTATGGATAATGCTTCTAGTAACACTAATGTTATAGGCTTGCTTACAACTACACTAAATCCTGCATTTAGTAATTGTTTCCATGTTAGATGTATTTGTCATATTTACCATTTAATCGTCGGTGATGGTATGAAAATTTTAAATTTGGAAATTGAAAAGGTTAAAATGGCTCTTAATTGGCTTTTTATTCAAACCGTAGAAGTGGACTTAGAGAATATTTTAAAAAATATGATGAATTTGGCCGTAGAGAGAGAAAGGTTCCTAAAGCTTGTCCGACTAGATGGAGTTACATGTACGAAAGTTTAGTTGTTGCATATGAATATAGAAACCCAATAAACGCAACGTTTAATGCTCGTGTTGGTGGTGAGGATGATGATGAAATCCATACAAATCAAGATTGGACTAATGTTAAAATTCTTATAGATTTTAGAACAATTTCATATTGCTACAAATGAATTGTCTGGGCAATATTATCCTACTATTTCAAACTGTTTAGTTTATATTGCAGCACTATGTGATTTGTTTGTTCAATTTTCAGAGGGTGGGGTAATTTATCAACTTGCTATTGATTCTATGAAAGAAAAATTTAAAAAATATTTTTTCCCTATCCCCCCTATTTATGGTGTTGCTGCCATGTTAAATCCTACCATGAAATTAGGAGGTCCTCACTTTTGGTATTCAAATATTTATAAGGCTTTAGATCTTTCAGATGAGGAATTTGCTACACTTGCAGATGCAAAAGCCTCAATTAAAATAAATGCTCAAACAATTTATAATGCTTATCAACTTGCCTTAGATCATGCTAGACCAAATGTTCTAACTCCTACTTCGTCTAGTTCGCAATCATCTAAAAGAACTGTGGGCCTAAAAGCACTTAGTTCTTGGACGGAGTTCAGGGGTTCTCAAGGTGATAATATTGGTTATACTTCACATCTAAATGAGCTTCACGTTTATTTGTCGCAGGGCCTTGAAAAAGAGAATCCAGACGGCACCTTTGATCTTTTGGAATGGTGGAAGGACAAAGAAAAATACTTTCCGGTTCTTTCAAGAGTGGATCGAGATATTTTATGTGTTCAAGCTTCAACAGTGGCATCAGAGAGCGCTTTCAGTCAAGCGAGACTTCAAATCGGTGATCATAGAGCGTCTATGAGGGAGAGCTTGGAAAAATCAGTACTCTTCAGAGATTGGATCCGTTCGGAAAGAAAAAATTTTGGACTTGCTGAATCACAACCGGAGATAGACGAAACTTATGAAGAAATGCTAGCGGAACTTGCGAAGGATGTTGCTTCGCCCGGAAGCGTTGATGAACAAGCTTCTTTTCCGCCACCACCAACGAAAATTCCTCTGAACCTTGAAGGATTTGTGAAATTTGTTAGAGATAATATGTAGACTAATATGTAACTTGTTTTTGGCACATCTTTATTAGTTTTTTTTCCTTTTAATGGTGGTATTAGCACCTTGTTGTGCTCATTCCATTGGGGGGAGGAAGACTAAGAAATATATGCCATTTTTGTTAATGTCGTAATAATAAAAATTATATGGCATTCCCTTGAATATTTCTTTGCAATTGTTTTTTGTGTTTAAATTTGAATTAGAAGATTTAAGTCACAATTCTATAATATATTTACAAGAAATTATCTATCTATCTATATATATA